GCGCCCTGGGGTGTCACGTTCTTCTTCGTCTCCTTCTTCTCCTCCATTTCGTCATGTTATTTTCCTTCTTCATTGTTTTTTCGTCTTCTTTTCTTTTCCTTCTTTGTCGTTTCTTCTTCTTTTTGTTCTTATTCTTTATCGGTTCTTTTTTTTCTTCTTGTCTTTCTTCTTGCCGCCTCTTCTTCTTCTTCTTCTTCTTCTTCTTGTGCTTCTGTTTTTGCTTCTGCTTCTGCTCTCTTCTTCTTCCTCTGAGTCACTGTTTCTTCCTCCGCCATAGCGCTTCATCAACAAATCATCATCTTTTTTTTTGTGTGCGAATGCTTGATTATGCTTCGGCTCCGTGTGCCATAGCCTCCCTCCTCCCTCCATAGACTCCCTCCCCCCTCCTCCTCCATTAGTCTCTCTTCACCGTCCTCCTCCCTCGTTGGACTCCCTCTCTCCATTAGTCTCCCTTCCCCCTCCTCCTCGCTCCATAGGTTCCCTCCATAGGCTCCCTCCCTCCTTCTTCTTGTTCCCTTCTTCTTCATCTTCTTCTTCCTCCTCTTCTTCGTCATCTTCTTCTTACTCCTCTTCCTACTCTCTACGGTCCTTCTGGGACGCGATAGTCCTCTTCTTCTTCTTCTTTTTTCCTTCTTCGCTAGAGTTCTTCCCCTACCTCCTCCTACCTCCGGTAGATTTCTGCTCCTACCTCCTCCTACCTTCGGTAGATTCCTGCTCCTACCTCCTCGTACTTCCTGCCACAGTCCCTCTTCCTCCCTCCTTCTTCCCGCCATAGTCCCCCCTCCTTCCTCCCCCCAAAGTCCTCCCATATGCCCCCCCCCCCCCCCCCCCAACCCCCCAACACATAGAAACCAATATGCCTGAAAATGAAACACAAGGCCGGATTTGGGCCGTACTTGGCAAGCGCAGCAAACCCCCCAACCCCCCAACACACAGCAATCCGTGAAAAACGTTGCCGCTATGCGGCCGACCCTAGCCGCGGATGCGGCCATGAACATGACCGCACTCCGGGCCTGACCCCACAGCCACGGCCACGAGGGATACATAGATCTTAAAGAATAATGGTGCAGAGATCTGGGGGGAAGTTATCAGGAGCCTAGTCCCACATGTTGTCTCCATTCGGAACACCGCACCTCATATGTCTCAATTGAACGACCTTGTAGAAAATGCGAACCGAGTAATGAAGAATGCTCTACGACGGAATATTGCGGCTAGGGACACGAGGCCCTGGCCCGAGATTGTGGAACACATCCTAGCCATCCTAGCCATCCACAGGGGACACCCCACGAGTCCACAGGTCTGTCCCCGTTCCATCTATGGACATATAGCCAATGGAACACCTGTGGACGCGTCCGCGGGGTCAAGCTCGGAGGGCGGACGTGATCACGGCCGCCGCGGCTCCGGCCGCGGTTGGGTGCGGCCGCGACTTCACATTTATCAAAAAACAAAATAAAAAATATGGGGTTGTAGATCGTATCGAGATCTAAATTGTGCAATTTTTTATTTTATTTTTTGACTTCGACTTCAAATTTTAAAAATTCAAAAACTAATTTTCCTGAGGCAAAACCTGTTTGTTTTGTTTTCCAAATAAAAAAACATGAAACGTATGTGAGTTTTTATTTTAAATTCAGTAACGTTTTTGGATATGACCACAAGGCAAAAGTTGTGCAGTATATTTTTCTGCATAACTTATTTGTTTTTTAGAATTTTTTGAATTCTTTTTTTTTTTTTTTTTTTTCATGGTCGCGGACCGCGGACAAGTCCGCGGGGTCGCGGCCTAGGTCGAGGTTGTCCGAGGATGGCCGCCGCCGAGGGGGATTCGTAGCATATAGCCTGGCCTGCGCCTCTCTACCAAGCCAAAAAGAAGAAACGAAATAGGGTCGACGGTCTACAAGGACGACGACTAAGGGAAAAGCCAAAGGACACACGGACTGTCCAAAGGCTGACTGTGTTTTTTCTTTTGAGGGAAGGTACGATAGCGTTGCCTTTGAGTATGGAATGTGCCTAAAAAACACGCTTCGGCAAAAGAAACCCTGCCGAGTTCGAAAAGGCGACGGAAGTAGCGACGGCTGTGGCGTCAGACTGGGTGTCATATTTACAAGGGTCAGCCGTGGTGTCAGAGGGGAAAACAAAGAAAAATACAGAAAATGCCCAACGGATACTTTTGGACTGAAATAGCTCATTTCGAGTTTTGAGTTGGCGCGTGGTTGCTTTGCTTTGCCGGCCCAAGTTCTGCCTTTAGGGTTTCAAAACATGCTGCGCCCACTGTTTAATATTTTCTATTTTTTTAATCTGAACTCACACAGCCCCATCTACTCTGGGGTGGCAGCAGTCAGGTTGCTTATTACCGGCAAGCATAGCGAGCAAATTCACATGGTTTTCGGTTCTTGCCGCACAAAAACCAGGGCCAGTACCGTGCGCTCAGGGAAAGCGATAGGGCGGCATTTTCATCCCACATCAGGCTGGTAGCCAAGTAGGGCCCAGGGAAAACAGCCCAGGGTTGGGTTGGACGTGGGATTAAGATACCCAGCTATCGTTTTCCCTGGGCGCTCAGCACTGGCCTGGGTTTTTAAGGGCACCCAAACGTGAAAAGGTTTCCATGTGGGCGCTTTTCACCAATTATCCCAATTTACATATATCCAATATATCTGAATTTAATGAGGGCGTCGGCCCTGCATACCCCCTCCACTTCCTCTCCTCGGACCACCATGCTGTCAGGTGTATTGGATTCAATTGTGGTCAGGAGGCTGTTTATTGCACCCTGTCACCATACAAATCCACCCCGGTCCAAATCTATTACAGATTTTTTTCTTAGTTTCTTTTCTTTTGGGGGCTTAAAAGAACTAGCCTTCGAGAAAAGAAAAAAAACGGAGACCACTCGCGAAGGTTGTGAACTGAAAGGAAAGCCTAAAGTCCACCAGAATGGCAAGGTTTTCTGATCCCCTTGATGAAGTTTTAGGCAGGGCTACTGTTGTAGATGATGAAAAGGAGCCGTACAACTCAGAGATCTACTATTGCAGGGCCGAGGTCCCAATAGCAAAATGAATAGGATCGAGCTCGTGAATCTGGATGTGTTTTATTAAGCAGAGATGCAGAAAAGCAGTTCAATCTCTACTTCCTGCACTTCTCCATCAACTCGTCCAGATTCAGGCATTCGATCCGATCCTCGGATCCTCTTTGCTACCGGGAGCCCGCCCCAGGGCTGGCAGCCGTAAACCGCTAGTACGCGGCCCCAGSCTTGCAGAAAGYTTTTGWCGTCCCACATGCRAAACTCGGAGAMMCCCCCCACAGCCAGGGGACCGGTGCTGTCGGAAAAAAATATGGGTGACCTCCGAAGTGGTGCGTGTTTCATGCTGACACCCGCGGGCTTATGTGTGGTGTACTGCTTGTGTATTAAATGAAAAGGAGAAAAGAAMGAAAGAAAGAAAGCAAGAAAGCAAGAAAGCAAGAAAGCAAGAAAAAGGAAGAAAGCAAGAACGAAAGAAAAAGCTGCAAGTAAATAGTTCCAGTAAACTAATATGTTCTTACTTCTACATAGAACAGAATGCCAGCAGCCAAAGGTTTGGGCGCGCAAGAACCGAAAAGGTTTTGGCATGGACGCTTTCCGCCAATCATCCCATTATTCGGAATAACTGGTGGCAAGCGCGTAGCCCAAAGCTTTTCTGGCTTGGCAAAAAGCGTCCACCGACAGGCCGTCAGATCTCAAATGCCCAAATCTGGTGGCCGAGATWGGGGTATTCGRCTGCTGGGCCCCTTCTTCTAACTTTCTCGGTCTTCAAAGGGGAAAGGTTTGGGCGCCCAAAACCAGAAAGGTTTTGGCATGGGCGCTTTCCACCAATTTTTATTATTATTATCCCGTAATTACAGAACCAGGTTCACAATCCGGTAGGAAGAGGCCAGCAGTCGTAGACCCCAATCTCGGCCACCATATTTCTGCATCCAAYGCCTGTGCTGCCCTTGGGCAGTTTTTGCCAAGCGGGAAAAGTTTGCTTGGGTGCCCAAAACCAAAAAGGTTTTGGCCTGGGCGGTTTCCACCAATTATCCCCTGAATAATGCTGCTGTCGGATGTAGAAGTACGAGCATAGAATTTCCCCACGCCGAAACCTTTCTGGTTTTCGGCGCCCAACTTTCCCAGGGTCTTTCCACCAATTACCCCATAATTCCAGCCATGTGTGTGTGTGTTGTTGTTTTTTCCTGTGTGTTTGTTGCTTTTTTTTTTTTTTAATTTTAACTACGCTATATTCTACTCTCAATTTCACCTTTCACTAGGAAAAAGAAAAAAAAAGTATGCTGCCCACCACGACTCCTGAGCCTATACAGGGAACCCCTCCAAGCCCTGATCAAAGGTGGTCAGGGAGTAGGGTGGGGCATCAGGTAGGCCGGTTTGGGGGGGGATGGGCAAACACAAAGACGGGACACTTCGCCAGTACCTTCGCCTCCCATCTACTGAGAGTAGAGATAAGAATTCTTAATTCTTTTTATTTTTAATTTTTATTCACATGGCTGCTGGGCAAGGATGACAAACATACAAATGTGCCTACTAGCTCAGTTGGTACACCAGGTCCTATGAACTGTTAGTCCAGAGCCTAAGCTCGAATCCTTGACTGTGGCTCCGTCCGAGCCGTCCCCTCATGCAGAAGATGGACCAGGTGCGCCTCTATCCACCACCCAACATTCTACAAGGCACATGCAATTGGACACATGGTCGACCAGGTGCATTCGGACGAGTCCAACAGTTTGAACGTGCATGTTGAGAGTATGAGGAGCTCTAGTTCTATATGCACACAATTGGATGCTTTCTGGACCGGGTGCATCTGGACTGTTTGCGTCCTGGTGCGAGTGTCTATCTACAACGACTACGTATATATAGAGGGCTTCATCGAGTGATCGTATGCCCTGTGCAAGAGATTTTCCCCTCACTGGCACTTCCTCTTTCTCGCTCTCGGTCCTTGTGCTGCCCTCCGTGCTTTCGTTCTCCGTACGATTGATTACCATTGCCTGCCAGAGTTCTGTGTCCTCCCAGCGGTGGGCTTGCATCTGGGGTGTGCACGTGTGTACAACGCTGTGAGGTTACGGTAGTGTAGCACTCATGGCCGCCTTCATGGGCAAGCCTGGTGCAAGCTCGGTGATGGCTGCTGCCTTGCTTCTGACAGTCTTGATATCTCTGTCGTCAAAGCTTGTGATGGGTGAATGCAACTTCAGGGGCAGCAGAGGCCCAGCGACGATATCGGACGGTGATATTTGCTGTGATGGACCTATCGTCCACAACGTGGATGGGTGAGTACTCAGTCTGATCAGTCGATTTTTTATTATTATTTTTATTTTTTCCACTGTGTTTCCTCTCCGTACATCGTAGTTAGGCATTCCACCTCCCTCTCACAAGCATCCCATCCTCTCTTGCTTGCAAAGAGTGTGCTTGACTGACACGGGTTCGATCCCCAAGGGAGACAGAGGAGCAACCTCGCTTTGCCGATTGCCCAGTATACTACGGTGTAAATTGTCTCACAGGCGTCGGTGCTTTGTGTGTGTTGCCTGAGACCTGGTCAGTTGCTCTTCATCATTTTCCCGATTTTTATTTTTATTTGTTTTTTTGTAATTGGAAAATCGTCCAGGCTGTCCAGCATGTCGACCCTCAAATTAACAAAACACAAAAAAAAAAGGTTGAGCCGACGTAGGGATCGGGGAGGTGAGTGGCCGTCCTGTCTTCCTCGCTCTGCCCCATCTCCTCCGCCTCTGACGACCCCAACCCAAAGTAACAGTCGCCTCCCACGTGAAGTCGAAGGACATGCGTTAAAACTGGAAGGCTACAGAGAAGATTAGAATGGCCCCTGCGCAAGGACGACGCAAATTAAAAGAGTAATAATAATAATAATAATAAAGTTATTGTCATCTGTCCGTCTCGGGTCTCAGAGATTGCTAAAGTCAGACTTGTGTCGTTGGTTGCTTCCTTGAATGGATAGGTGATTAAATCGTTCTATTGGACTGTCGATTGGACTGTTGACTGGATCGTTGATGATTAAACTTGTGTTTGAATTCCATTGTAAACATTAAGAGAAAAAAAAAAAAAAAGTGAAATGCTACATCCAGCACGGCCCAGCAGGACACGAACTGCTTACATCTGTTCATCACGTCACATGCATTCGTGTACCATCCAGCCATCTCGCAGCCATCTGGCTGTCGTATGTTCTCTACCTATTTCCCCCGAATAGAACGTACAGTCATTATGCCTGTATTTGGGGCAACTTTCCGTCCACATACAGCAATAATGACCTTTCGTTCTATTCGGTAGAAGACGGTAGCTTTTTGCTTTGGCTACCCAAAGGCTTCTTCTGGTCATATGGGCGCCGAGCTAAAACATGCACCTTCAAAGAAACCAGCCACCGAGTTAAAAAATGTTATGAAAGTACAGCGGCCGTCGTGTCACGTGGGGTGTGATAACTACAGGGGTCGGCCGTGGTGGCAGACGGGCTAAGGGAGCAAAAACAAATTAAAAAAAAAAAAAGGGGTAACTTCCGCGCAGTCACCAAAACAGTTTGTAATTGCATTTGAAACTGCGTTTTAGCAGTTTGGTCAGGGCCCGAGTTTCAATTGCAGTTGAAACTCGGCCCTATGCAGTTCAGTCAGGGCCCTTGTCTATCCACGAACAGCAGATAAACAAACAAAAAAAAAAAACATCCCTTATGCTGTGATTGCAGTCCGATACAGGATGCTACAGCACTTGTCCGAAACTCAATGAAGAGTGAAATCCGCCCTGCCTGGCTGGCAGGGCGCTACAGGGACCTCACAACAAGAAACAAAAAAAGAAATCGACCTGTTTCATGTTCCTTACTTCCTGGCCAGATAGATTCCTCAAAGCACCCGTGACCTGGCCAGATAGATTCCTCAAAGCACGGAGGTGGATTCTAAGTTCCTCGTTTCTTTACTTTTTTTTTTCCTTTTTTCTTTTTTTGGCCTCTGTCCCTGCCCCGAGCCCCCCACTTCTTCGGAGTAGGCTACTCTTGAATCTTCGCGCTTGCCTGTGAAGGGTAGTGCCTGCGAATCTCGGCTGTGGGCGAGACATCTCGGCCGTGGCCAATCTGGGGTGAGGCCGAGACATCTCGGCCGTGGCCAGTCCGGGGTGTGGCCGAGACATCTCGGCCGTGGCAGGTCTGGGGTGTGGCCGAGACATCTCGGCCGTGGCCCAACCATGGGGCTGTTTTTTTTTTTTTTTTCCCCTCTAGCTGCGGAGCGGCCCGGCTCGGCACGGCAAGCGACCGAAAAAAAAAAAAAGAAAAAGAAAAGAAACAAAAAAGAAAGAAACGGACGGCGCTGGACCGAAAAAAAGGACAAAAAAAAAAGGAAACAAAAAAGAAGGAAAAAACAATAATAATAATAATTAAAAAAACAAAAAAAAAACAAAAGAAACGAAAAATAAAGAAATGGACCGCCGCGCACGACCGAAAAAAAAGACAGAAAAAAAAGGAAAAAAAAAAAAGGAACGGCCATGTGCCTGACTGAACTGCTAGAAAAAGCCAGCCCGTGTTTCAAACTGCTAAAACGCACGGGCCATGACTAAACTGCAATAGAAACTTGGGCCCTGACTAAACTGCTAATAGGCAGTTTCAAATGCAATTACAAACTGTAACCCTGACTGCGACGTAATTTTCTCAAAAAAAAAAAAGAAAAATAAAGGGGGGACCCCCACGGTTCCTTTTCTACCGAAACTGCATTGTCTAACTATCAGCGTTGAGGTTCATCAACGCCTGAATGAGGACGTTTTGTGGAGATGTGCAGAAACGGCATAATTGAGCTTGGCGCAACCGTGCATGGGCTCAAAGACATCCATACAGTAGCATTGAGTGCAATCAAGGATATGGCCATAGTGGGACTTGGCCCATCCGAAATTGTTGTTGGCCTTTTTTCGCCCTTAGCTAGTTGTCCTTGATTTTTTCGCCCATCCGGGTTTTGGAGTAGGAAGTGGGATCCTCATGTGTGCCTCTTTTTTTTTTGTTTTTTTTTTTGGTTTTCTTTTCCCCCCTCCCTTCCCGGCTGATTCTGTTGTTCTGCAGTGTGGAGAAAACGACACGTTTCGTTAACACTGGGGCCTGCGCCTATGGTCCTTGCTCGGGTGCTAACTGGAACTATGCCAAGTGCGGTCGGAACTTCTACACCTCAGGAAGCCGTGTCTGCAGGAGAAACCTGCACGAGCCGGTTTACGGCGAGTGCGTCMTAATMGAAATCACTCAGGCTACGYACACCGACAACACCAATTGGAAGGGGGAGGACTGTATCATCATCAGGACAACTTGAAGCCCATGAACATGATGAGGATCAAATATGCGAGGTCAGGGCATTTCTTCCAAGTCTCAGTGTCTCACAAGTCACGTCAGAGAAGTCTCATAAGTCGCGTCGGTGAAGTCTCATAAGTCACGTCGGTGAAGTCTCATAAGTCACGTCAGAGAAGTCTCATTGGCTTGTCACACACGCAAGGGTTTTTTTTTAAGTCAAGATCAATTCCTCGAATTGAGTGAGAGGCGCGGAGAAGATTATGACCGCGACGACAGTCATCCATCCACCAGTCATTCAGTGCAAACCAGGAAGAGAGGAGGAGAGCCTAGGAGATCCTCCTCTTCTCTTAAATGTGTTCGTCCTTGGCCTGCTCGGCTCCTTCTTTGTCCGCTTGTAGAACAGCGAGCATGACATGCGGATGCCGGGAAGAAGTTAATGAAATCGGTATGGAGGAGCGGACGATAGATGGGGAGTAGGGGGGGGCAATGGTGAGGAGGAGGGTGAGGAGGAATGCAGGAAGACAGAGAGGAAGAGCCTAGGAGGAGGAGGAGGAGGAGGAAAAGGGGAACAAGACAGTGGTATGGGACCGACAAGCACCTCCTCTCCTCCTCCTCGTCGGCCTCCTCCCCCTGCCCTTTTGCAGTAGCTTGATGTCCCCTGGGATGCAGTCATCTCTCTTTTTATTTTCCATTCTTGATTGAAACCCGTCGTCGTGAGGTAAAAATAAAAATAAAAAGGAAAAACTGACCGTGGGTCACATTCTTAGCTCGAAATGGGCAGAAAAAAACAGGTACCAGGGTCCAGGGGCAGAGTCCAGACTCGGCAAAAAAGGCAGACACATGGGCAATTCTTTTTGCTGTTTGTTTGTTTCAGGCCCTCTGCACACCACGGCCAGACTTTGTAGTTATGGCATGGCATTGCGGGCTTATTACGAATGGCCGCGTGAAGTTGGCAGCCTTTTCTACTGCAGCCGTTGAGGGACCTGTCTGAACTTGTGTTTTTTTGTCTGTTCCAGGTTCGCATTGGGGGTCTTGAATGCTTAAGGGGACTCTACAAGTGTCCTGACTGCAGAATCTGGTCACCAATTTCTGGTCAGATACGCCCTGGGTCAACATTGCCCTTCCTGCCAATTGATCTTCAAGTCTAATTAATTTATTGCTCTTCAAGTCTAATTAATATAGACTATTCATAGCTCTCATGTGACAGGTTGAACGAGTGTCAAGCCTATTCGCTATAACCGGCATTCTTGTATTTTCCTTAACTGAATGGCACTTGTGAGAATTGGCCTTCTACTCAGTTCCAAATTCTGCTGCTTCCCGGTTTCTCATATCACTTCGCTCACCCCCCTCCTCTTCTCTCTCTCTCTCTCCCTCTCTCTCCCTCTTTCTCCATCTCTCCCTCTCTCTCTCTCTCTGTGTGACCCGGTTGGTGTTCAACTTTCGGTTCAACTTCAGTCAATGGCACTCCAAATGTTGCTTCCGACTCCGTTTCGACTTGTCCTGCTTCCGAGCTTTTTGATATTGCCCCTCCCCCC